TCGTCGTAGAAAATACTCTATTTAACAGCAAAACACGGTTTGCTTACACCCATAGACACAGCCTTTGGCACGACAGCGTTGACCCACCCGCTCTAGCAATACGCATACAAGCAACGCTGCAACGCTACGAGAGCTGCACGACGATGGGTTGTTGGCTACGACGGGTCGATCGATCACTTCGGATGCCTCCATTCGACACCAAAAGCTGAAGAACACACCTTAGCGGTGCGTCACTCATTCCGGTGTTCGACCGGTGCCACTGCACCGAGGTTCGACTGGTCGGAACTTTGGCGCAACGAACCTCTTGGCTTTACAGGAAAACAGCAACCGCTTCAACACGGCGCGACCAGAGACGCTTACGCATACATGCGCGTCGTGCTCGTACCGCATGCTACCGCCATGGATTAGGTGGAGGCTGTAAGTGTAGCGGTTGTGCCAACATGAGCTGCAGTTTGCTGTTCACGGCCCCTTTGCAGCACCGTCATCACAAGGCAGCGATACTTTGCACATCGTACACGTATCTTCTGACACGGATCCGTCATGCTACAACCCTTTCTCGCTACAAAGCACTTGGGAGTCGTGGTATCTCAGTGCGCGAGGAGGTGCGTGGCGTGGTTGATGCGCGTCGTCACGGTCGCAAGCGCCTCTTGGATGAGGGCCTCGAGGCGAATTTGCGCGTCGCCGTCCGAGAGCTCGAGCAAAAGGGCGTTTTGAAGCCACGCGATCGAGTCGCGGTCGAGCTCGGGAATGGCTGCACTCAGTGCGAGCTCGAGGAGCGAAATCAAGAAGGACGAGTGCGCGCGGAGGACGAGGAACGCCGCGACGCACGTCTTCTGGAAGAGCGGAAACTGGTCGCCCATGACGGTCACCATCGCATGCGTCAAGACGAACGGTGCGCGCTCCCGCGCATACCCCATGTACGTTTTGAAATGCCCGAGAAAGTGGCCAAAATCAATGTGTAAAAACTGCCCGGACGCCGTCAGCATCAAGTTGTCGTTGTGCCGGTCACCGACGCCGAGCACGTACGTCGCGACGCAGTACCCAGCGCACGAGAGCGCAAAGTTGCGGGCGACGTCATCGGAAGTTGCGTCGCGCTGGTCGTGGAGCCATTGGGCATACACGCGCTTCCCAAAGAGCGCGGTTTTGACCGCCGCGAGCTTGCGACCCGTCTTCTTGTGCTTGTGGCGGTCGCGGCAAATGGCCGCGAGCGTCGACGCGTGGTGCACGACTTGAATGAAACCAATGTTGTCGCCCGACGACACACACGCGTACGCGGAGAGTTGCAAGTGGAGGTCGTTGGCCTGCCAGAGATCGTCCATGACCCGCAAAAGCTGGAGCGTGAGCTGGTCTTGGCGCAAATCGTCGCCCGACTTGAAGATGGTCGATGTCAACCCGAGTTGCTTGGTCGGCGTCAAGTGGAGAAAGAGCGGTTTCTTGGCCGAGTCCATGGTGCGGCACTGGCCCGGGACAAACGCCGAGTAAAACACGTTCGGATGCAACGGCAGCTACGAGTCGCGTCAGGTCGTGTACCAATTGTGGGGCAAACCTGAAAGCAGTCGGGCAAAATGGCCTCTTCGAGACCGGCGCGCAAGACACCGTCGCGCGTCGCGGACGACGCAGCTTTGACCGCGGTCGCGAGTCGCTCCAGAAGACGCATGACGTACATGGACTGGTACAGCTCGACGCGAAAGACGCCCGAGTGACAGAGGTACTGGGTGCGCAAGAGCGCAAATCGGTCTAGAGACTCTAAGTTATAGCCATCCGTGTGCACTACCTTGGATGATTGGCACGTGGAGCTCGGCTTGTAGCAGCCAAAAGAGCGCGTAGCCCACCTCAGACGGCGACTTGAGGGCGCGCACGAGGAGAAAGCGCATGAGCGCCGAGTCATGATGCGGCTCGCACTTGAGCGCTTGTACGAGCTGCAGCAAGTACAGTCGGAGGCGGTAGTCGGGTAGTGAGTCCAGACACCGCACGGCGTACGCTCGTACAAACGGATCGGCAAACTTTGGACTGAGCAGTTGCAGCGCCTACACCTTTCAAATGAACTAGAGAGCAAAAGGCGAAATCAACCTGCAGCGCGGTGGGCGGCGTCCAGAGGTACAAGTACTTGTACGCTTCTGTCACGTGCCCCCGGTTGGCCCAGTTGACCGAGAGCAAGAACGGCATGAGCGCCGACGACGTCGTCACGAGCACCGACCGGTAGCTCCAAAAGAAACGCCGGTCGTCCGTCGAGAGCGGCTGCATCGGGTTGGCCTCGAACGTTCCGAGCATTTGCTTTTGTTTTGCGTCCAGGGTCATGGGAACCACCGATGTTGGCCGCGCCCATGCCATCTCGGCACTGCGGTACGTGAGCAAGACCGACGACGGCGGCGTGTCGAGGTAAATGCACTCGCCTACAACACCAAACATCATTTTCCTATCACACCATCCGTACTAGTACGGACCAAGGCCATCGTCGTGGTCGGTCGACTGAAGGCACGCGCTAAACTCGATCGGCAAGGTCACGCGCGCGTGAAGGCTTAGTCGTAGCGTGCCCACGCGCAGGAAATGGTCGAACGAGAAGAGGTAGCATGCAGCTTGGCGAAGCACCTTCTTTTGCGGCCCTAGGATCGCGACGCAGAGGTGGGCGGCGCGCGGCAGCGACTGCACGTTGCACGGAAGCACTAGCGTCTCGAGACACTCGAACGTCTTGACACTTGCCAAGGACGTGGCTTTGATCCACGCCGACGTCACCGGTGGCGTCAGCGACGCTTCGCCATGAACGAGCTCGAGGCGCACCTGAATGCGGTTGGCTTTGGTTGCGAGCCGGATCGTACCTGGCTTGATGGCCAAGTCGTTGGCAACCTAAGCATACAAATTAGAAGACGAAAGCGTTGTCGAGCAAGAGAACCTGCGAAACGGACCCGAGGTGCCGTGTCTTGGTGCCGATCTGGAGCAAGTACGGTTGGGTAAACTGCGCGGCAAGTTCGAGAAGCTCGAGTTCGTGGATCGTATACGGCGGACGGGATTGAGTGTTGAGGACTTCCCAGACACCGACAACGTGGCTGGCATGGGCGACCGGCACGGCCATGATGGAGCCGGTGGACGCGTACATGACGGGGTCGTGGGCAATGGCGGCGAGGTCGTCGCAACGCCCGAGGAAAGCTTTGCCACTTGCATGCACGACGCCCGGCACGCCAAAGTTGACGGGCGTCTGGAGCTCCTGGAACACTTCGTCGCTGGCAAACTAGCGTGGTATGAGAGACGACCAATCGATATGATGCAAGTACCTTGGTTTGGAACTGCGTGTTGGCCACGTTTGCGAGGTAGAAACGCACGGTGCTTGCCTCAAACAGCTTGAGAAAGATCTGTGCCATGCACCGAATGCAGTGGTCGACGTCGAGCTCGGGGGAGACCGAGAGGAGGATCTCGCGGATGAAGGCTTGCGGCGACATGCGGCTGCTCGACGACGTAGACTCGTAGTGCAAGCAGCCCGCCATCTCGTGGGCCCATTTCCGGAAGCTCTCGCTCTAGCAATGCGCCATGAAGAGCATACGAGCACGCGGTCCTACCTCCATGTCACCGTAGCGAATGTTGTGCAGGTTCGCAGACAAGGTCGCCTTGGGTAGCTTGTCCTCATACTGGAAAAGGGCCTAATCCTGCATGATGCTTTGATGATGGAGGTGGAGGAAGGACCATGCGAGGGAGCACGTAGCAGTCGGCGGCGAGGACGGCCACGATGGACAAGGTCGGGCTGGACGCGAGCATCTCGTACGGGTCAAGCATGTCGCCGCTGACGTACTGCAGCCGGTCGGCAAGGAGGTCGTTGGCTGCGGGGCTGGACGCGACTCGAGCTTCGAGGACGCCGGTGCGCACGATAAAGATGACGTCAATAGCCGACGCGCTCGAGAAGACGACGGCCCGCGGCGCGTACGTCACGAGGCGCGCAGCTGCGTTCACTTCGTGGAGCTCGTCAGCGTCCAAGCGCGCGAGCTGCGGCAGGCAGCAGAGCAAGGACATGGACGACGAATGTTGGAGTCGCTCGATGCTCTCGGCGCCATGCGCCTGCTGCACCTTTCCCTTGGTCTTCTCCATAAAGACGATCTGGCGTACGGTGGCCCGCCAGCGCTGCTTGGAGGATGGGCTCAGCTGCGGCTTGGTTGCTACCGGCGCCACCTTGGGCGCATCGAGGAAGGCTTCAATGCTCTGGAGCTCGGCCTTGATCTCTGCCACGATCGCCTTCTCCGCGCGCAGGAGCGATACGATCGACGTGGTCGTCGCTGGTGGCTTGGGCAGGTCGTCGAGGGGGACGACCGGGACCCCGACCTCGTCGCCAGCGTCCATGCGTCGGTTTCCAAACGAGGCGTGTTTTTAGTCTAGGACATGCGCCCTTGTTGTAGGTCCCATCAGGACATGGTGACGAAACCCACGCGCGATGTAACTGCCGCACTAAAAATAGTGTGCGAACAAAGATACGGAATAGTGTAAACGATGCGACGACACCACGTGCTGTTGCTGCTGGCGATGGCTGCTGCGACGTGCGTCGGTACGTGCCCCGTCCAGTGCGCCGACGACCAAGAATGCAAGTCGCTGCCCAACGGTCAATTGGCTTGCGCCGATGTGTGCAAGTGCGCTGCGTACGAGCTCTGCGTGCCCGTCGCCCTAGACTGCGGCGCCCCGTGCCACCCAATCATGCAGTGCGTTCACAACCAGGCGACCACGCCAGTGCTGCCGCTCGACGATGCGACGCCGTGACGCCACCAAGCTACTTGCCTAGACGCCATCTTCATCTCATGCAAGCGTCTGCCCTTGCCTCTCTGTGTATCCAAGCTAGCGCCACGAACAGAGCAGTCTACCTGGCGGCGTCTCCAGAAGGCTCCCATCCATACCCCATATCCATAACGCGGGCGCGCCAGCATTGGATGCGGCGCCACTTGGGTGGCACTTGGTACATCTGAAAGCTGCTCGGACCTGCAAGTGATAGGCGCTTAATTTTTGGAGATGCCATGGTCGCCAGTATCTCGGCCTCGTCGCCTGCTTGCGAGCTGCATGGCTGTCAATGACTACTGTCAATGGTGGGTACAGGGTTGAGCAGAGCCGGCTCGATGCCCAAGCCTCCACAGACACGCATCGTCCTCACGCGTGTCGGCTTGGCGCGGTCCAGTGGCTGCTCAAGCACGGCGATGTCGTGCGTCAACAAGCTTCCACTTCGAACGCTCGAAATTCGAAGCCTGTTCTAGTCACCTTCTCGAGCCGGTCAGGAGGCTAGGATAAGGTCGTCGTCTGATTCACCGGCCCGCGTCTTCTGCACAGCGTTGTGAACGCCCTTGCTGCTGTTGTACTGATTAGGCGAACTGCGTGTATAAATATGGCAGCCGTCTCGCCACAGCCTCCACCAAGCTTGTCACCACCAAGGCCGCCACGTCCATCGACTGGGTAAGCCATGGAGCCGAAGAGACAGGCCACGATGAAATAAATAATTGTGTGCCCATCCCACTGCGGCACGACGATCCGGCCCACAACCCATCAACATGCCCAGAGTGCTGGCGACTTGCCAGAGCCCAATCTCGTCCGTGCACTTGCAGCTTCCTTCCTACGCCCGAAGAAAGCACCACAATCCGCTTCCTCGTACCTCCTATACGCTCTGCATCATGAGGACCGGCGTGCTTCTTGGTGGTGCACCTCGTCGCGTCGTCGGTCGCTGGGGCAAGGTGGTTGCCAGAATTCCCTTGGCCAGTACCAGAGCAACTTCAATCTCAATTGTAGATGGCGTTAAATTCACATACAAACATCAAGTCACATGGCATTTAATTATCCAATTCACTGGACGTTTCTACGGGACACTCTGGCGCGGATGTATATTATTATTCCAGTCATCTGTTGGATTGTACATGGGTTTTGGTTTAAAATATCGCGCTATTTTTATCTTTGCATACAAATTGTGCGTTATAGAATACATATACGCGTACGATCACATGCCATTTTAATGCACCGTGTGCAATCTATTCAGCGCCAATCCGACAATTAAAAACCATGTATTTTGAGCTCGCCGGAACGCAGTTCAGTCCCAAGAAGGCCGCTTCTACACATCTCCATACACAGCGCGATGGCCGAGAGCGGCGCCGCCAAGCCACGCGTCGGCGACCTCTACTGGAAGAAGGTCGGCTCTAACGGATGGACCCTCGGGAAGGTCTGCGCCGTCGCCGAAGAGACCAACATGGCCGAGTTCGGCCTCGTCGACGAAGACTCGGGCGACATGCTGCGCGAGCCCCACGAGATGCTCGACCTCGCCGAGCACCCGCTCTTCCCGGCGAATCCGCTCTTTAGGTACCTGCATCTGCAATCGCCGTAGCGCTCATGCATGGCGTAGCACGTGCGCCGACATGACGTCGCTGCACCACTTGCACGAAGCGGCGTTGGTCAAGAACCTCCAAGATCGCTCGGCGCTCTCCAACCAGCGCCCGTACACATTCATGGCCAACGTCCTCATCGCCATCAACCCGCTGCGATACCTCGAAGAAGTCGATAAAGACCTCTTCATTGGCAAGCCGCTCGACAAGTGCCCACCGCACCCATACCACGTCGCCGAGGTACGCCGACGACTGCATATGCGTATGCACGATATAAACCAATGTCGTAGAGCGCGTACCGGCAGCTCTGCACATTGCGGCCCGTCATGCAGAACCAGAGCATCATCATCAGCGGCGAGTCGGGTTCGGGCAAGACCGAGACGTCCAAGATCATCCTCGATTTTCTGACGATGCGCGCGGTTGCGCCGCGCTCCGAGAGCTTTGACGACCACTCGGAGCCCGAGGTCACGACGATGCCCCTCAAGCGCCCGAGCATCTCGAAAGGCCCCAGCGGCTCATCGCGCGTGCTCTCGTCCTTCTCGATCCGCGACGTCTCGAGCATGCTCAAGGAGCCCAACACGGTCACCTTGGGCGAGCGGCTCATGGAGACGATCCCGATCCTCGAGTCGTTCGGCAATGCGAAGACGCATCGCAACCACAACTCCTCGCGCTTTGGCAAGTACATGCGCCTCCAGTTCTCGTCGCGCCATTACGAGCTCACGGGCGCGTCCATCGACACGTACCTCCTCGAGAAGTCCCGGCTCGTGCACCCGCCCAACGGCGAGCGCAACTTTCACATCTTCTACGAGCTCTTGCGCTCCGGTCGGTCGGACCTCCAAACGCTGCTGCATGTCGCCAACGACGACCCGGAAAGCGCGATCCAGAGCTTCCACTACCTCAACCGGTCGGCGTGTACGAGCAGCGACCTCCTCGACGACGCAGCCAACTTTTCCAAGCTCACGGACGCGCTCCTCATGGTCGGCATTGACCATGTGCAGCAGACGGACCTCTTCAAGCTCGTGGGCGGTCTCCTCCATCTCGGCAACGTCGACTTTGACGAGGAAGAGACGTCGGAAGGCTTGTCGGCGGTGCTGGCCGAGACGTCGCTCACGAGCTTGGGCCATGCGTCCGAGCTCCTCGGCGTGCCGGTCGACGAGCTCTCGAGCGCGATGCTCAACAAGCGCATCACGCGCAGCAAGGGCGGTCGGAAGAACTCGATCTACTACCTCAAGAAGGACGCGCGCCAAGCGTCCTACTCGCGCGATACGATCGCCAAGAGCATCTACGAACTCGTGTTTTCGTGGCTCATGCGCCAGTGCGCGTGCGCGCTCGAGTACAACGAAGCGCTCCGAGATGTGCTGCCGTACATTGGCGTCCTCGATATCTTTGGCTTTGAGGATTTCGAGCCCATGAACCGCAACTCGTTCGAGCAGCTCTTGATCAACTACGCCAACGAGACGCTCCAGAGCATCTTCAACACGTGCATCTTCCAGGCCGAGCAAGAGCTCTACCTCTCCGAGCACATCCACGTGCCCAACAACGTGGAGCTCGCGTTCCCGTTTGCGCTGCCCGGACAGCCGCTACCGAGTCTGACGCCGACCAACGAGTACGACACGCCCGACGACGACAAGGTGTCTGACGTCGTTGTAGACCGATCGCGGAGCGGCTCAACTCGACGAGCGAGCTCATCACGTACGTCGACAATCAAGAGTGCCTGACGCTGATCGCGTCCCGCCAAGGCGGTACGATCCATGCTTTGGTGGGGTACCATCAAGAACTGGTTGTGTGATGCTAGGTGTGTTTGCGACCATTGACACGGTCTCGCGGCTGCCGGGCCCGTCGGACCGCAAGCTCAACGAGCGTCTTCACACGCTCTTCAAGCGCAACGCCTGGTATGTATCGACACGTACGCATGGAATCGTTGATACATTGATACTTTCTAGCTTTCCGCTGCCGCACCCAAAGGAAGCGCACGAGATGTTTTGCATCGTGCACTACGCGGGCACGGTCAAGTACCACATCGAGTCGTTCATTGACAAGAACAACAACATCATCTCGGCGCAGTTTGAGGAGCTCATCCACATGTCGCGGTCACGCATTCTGAGCTCGCAGCCGACGACGACGCCCGTGAGCAGCCAGCTCAAGGGTGGATCGGTCTCGCAGATGTTCTCGGTGCAAATGAAGGGCCTCGCGTCCGAGCTCGAGGGCACGCGCTGCAACTTTATCCGGTGCATCAAGCCCAACGCCGCGATGGCGGTCGGCGTCTTTGACCGCAACTCGGTCGTCGACCAGCTCCGCTGCTCGGGCACGGTTCAAGCCTGCTCGGTGCTGCGGGTCGGCCTCCCGACACGCATCTTGTACGCTGAAGTCGTCGACATTTACGCGCCACTCGTCGGCGACGAGGTCTACAGCCTCTTCAAGCTCAACGAGCGCCTCTTCACGCAAGCCATTTGCGCAGCCTTGCGCTTTCCTGCCGATGCGTACCGGCTCGGCGATACGCGGCTCTTTTTCCGGACGGGCAAGATCGATTTGCTCGACCAACTGCTCAACGTGACCAAAATCGACCCGCACTTGCCGTCCGCGCTCGGCCGCTACGTGATCAAGCGCCGGTGGGTCTCGGCCGTCACCAAGGCCATCGTCTACAAGCGCTTTGAGCGCATCTACCACGAGTGCAAGTTTCGCCGGCGCGCGATCGTGCTCCAGTGCGCGTGGCGCCAGCACCGCGCGCGTCTCGAGCTCGCGTCGCTTCGTCGCCAGCAGGCGATTGCGCTCAAGCTCCAAAGCTGGATCCGCAAGCTGCAGATCATGAAGGCGTTTGCGGGCCGCCCGGACGAGAAGCTCTCGCTTCTCAACGGTCTTTTGAGCAAGCCAGCGCTGCCAAAGGGCCAAAAGTGGCTGCTCACGTGGCTCGGGCCGCTCCAGCGCGCCATGTACGTCCAAAAGCTCTGCCGCAAGGCGTGCGTGGCCTTTATGGTCAAGCGCGGGTTCCTCTGGCTCTACGAAAACGTGCGGAAGAAGCGCGCGCAGCTCCTGTTGCAGACGCAGATGCGCGTCTTGCTCGCCAAACGGCGGCTCCAAGAGCTCGTGCGCAAGCGCCGCGCCCGCGACAACTGGAAGCGCGCGATTCTCGGTACCTTTCCACTTGCTTGACAGATTGATACTGATCACACGGCATGATCTCGTAGGGGCGCGGGTGTGTTCGCTGTTTTTGCGGCAGTTTAAGCGTGTACATTTGACGCGCCTCGAAGCCAGCCACGAGTCGCTCACGGCGCACAATGAGGCGCTGGAAGCCCGGGTGTCGGCGCTAACGTCCCAGCTCGAAGACTTCAAGAAGCAAAACGAAGCGCTGGCCGCGGCGGTCGTCGAGAACAAGCGGCTGCTCGACGCACGAGCTGCGCGCATCGCGGCCCTCGAAGCCCAAGTGCCCAAGCCAAAGGAGTCGCTGCTCTCGCGCGTCTTCCGTTTCTTTACGTGCAACTCGGCACCGTACGACCTCGAGGACAACGACGACGACGCGGCCGAGCGTACGGTGAGTGAATGCAGCTCGGTCGACGACCATGCAAACAAGGTGACGCCGCCATCGTCGACCACGTCGACGGCATCGTCATCGACCCCGTCGCCCGCCACAACGATGGCCACCAAGCAGGCGCGGAAGCTCTCCAACTTTGTCAAGCCCGCCAAGCGCCAGCACGAAGGCGTCTGGAAGATCAGCCGCTTTGTCTTCTAGGACAGAGCGTACATGTGCGCACGCCAGTGGAAGCGTGCGATGATGGCACATACGACGACGCTACTTGGCCGTTCTTGCCCCCGATCGCAGGTGGCATCTACTTCAACAACAGGAAGGTCCAGTCTTTATTTATACAAACAACAAGTTGTACTGCATTCTCAATTCAGCAGCGTCGCGCCAACGTCAGAGTCAAAAGTGTTGCAAGTGACATGTAGTGGAAGTGATCGGGGCACAGACGTTGCCTTCCTTGGAGTGAATGAAAGAGTTGCGAAGATCCAGACAACAGAACGTCAAAGTCGCTTGTTAGTATCGAGAGCCCGTAAAGAAACGAAATGCGTCCACCATGACGGTATCATTGCCCGCGTCAGCGTGCTCGACAGCGTTTTGCGCGTCGGCAAGTGTCCTCATAAAGCTATGTTTACAGGATACCCGTATGTGTATCACGCATACCGGTATCCTGGCTGTAAGGCTGCCACGTAATGTAGGAATGGCGTCTTGGGATTGGCCATGTCGCTTTGGGATTTGACCAATGAAATGTTCCCATGTCAGATCGCGGTCAAACTCGATCGCACGGATCTCGAGATGGCCGTCCAGCCATCGTCTATGACGCTAGCGTCACGTCGACCATTGCGCACCAATTGAAGCTCCAGATTTAGCGAGCTCATCGCGCTGCGAACCAGTGACCTCGGCAGACAAGACATGATGCAGCGTACGCAGAGAAAGAGCATCTCTGATACAATAACAATAGCCACAAGGACGCAAGAACACGCTTCACTACTTTGAATATTTGTCTGCATCTCCTTGTCGTCGCAGTGCTTTTCAAAGGAGCAATACCTCGTTGGCCGAGCATACGATGAGTCAAGAAGAAGGTGCCTGCGATATTCGACGGACTAGACAACCTGTACACAGTATAGCGCCGTGTTAGTAGGTAGCGACACCAATGGAGCGAGTGCAGAGTGCACAAGAACGTCTATCGGTTTCGCGTCGTTTCAAAAATTTCGACGATGGAGCTCAAGACCGAGGGCGAGGGCAACGACCGCGAGACGCGGGTGCAAGCCCGGCGCGGGCGCATCGAGGCGCGGAATGCGAGCAAAGACGACGAGAAGATGAAGAAGAAGACGACGGGCGGTGACGCCAAGCGCATGAGCCGCGGATCGCAGCAGATTGCCGACAGTCTCAACCAGCTCGACCGACGCAAGGTCGCATTTTCGTCCACGTCCCTTCCATCCACCGTCCTCCCTAGCTGGCCGGGATCCAAGAGGTGACCGACGTCCGCGTCCGCGCCGACGACAAGGAGAACGTTCGGCGCATCGACGAAGAAGACCGCAAGCAAAAGCGGATCGAGAAGCTCCAGCAAGAAGCCATTTCGAGCGGGTCTCGGAACGCCGCCGTCGAGATGCGCTGGGCCGATCTGTACGATTTCAACATGCCCCAAGAGCTCCACAAGGTTCGTTCATAGTCGATAGAGACGGTGATGTCAACGGGTCGACTGTAGCAACTGCAAGCGCAGGAGGAAGCGTGCAGCGCAATCCTCGAGTCCAAAGACAATGTGATCAAGGACTTCCAGGCGCAGTTGAAGTCCAAAGACGAAGAGTATGTGATTGCGCTCAAGGTCGAAGCCGAAGACATTGAAGCGCTCGTCGACCGCATGAGCCAGCAGTACCGCGAGATGCAGGAGGAGTATGAGCTCGAGCTCGAGCAGATCGAAGACGCCTTTCTCAAGGTACCGTCATGGCAGTGCGCTTCATCGTCAACTCGGAATGCTCTCTAGGAGCGCGACGAACTCATTACCGGCAACAAGTCGGAGATCGACTCGCTTTTTGAGAAACGACGCGAGATGGAGATGACGTACATGGAGGCCAAGCAAGCCCGTGACGAGATGAGTCAAAAGGAGATTGAAGACTTGCGCGTCAAGGACGCCGAGGACTACAACAAGCTCAAAATCAAACTCGAAACGGATATTCAGACCCTCGAACAGCAGCTCGAAGAAGTGGGGTTTTTGAGTTTTCTATTTCGTTTCCACAATGCAATCTAGATGCGCGCGACGTACCAGCTCAATACGGAGAAGCTCGAGTACAATTACCGCGTCTTGACCGAACGCGACATGGAAAATTCGGCGACGTTGAGTCAGCAAAAGCGAAAATTGAGTCGGCTCAAGGACGCACTGAGCGCGCTCATTCAAAAGTACACGCAAACCGACACGGCGCAGCGGCATCAAAACACCGAGCTCACGGAAGAGTACCGGCGCATCACCAAGCAGTACAAGGACCTCCAGAAGAAATTTCAACACTTTGAAGAAAACGACGGCCGCAAATTCGACGAAGTTTGGGCCATGCATGAAGCCGAAGCGCTCGAGCAAATTGAGAAGGTTCTGCAAGCCGACCGCATCATCCACGAACAGCAACTCGGGCTCGTTTGGGTCAACAATCCTCTTGTTTGAGAAAATGCAACTCAAACTCAAACCATGTAGGTGCCACCGGCGTGCGACCTCCGGCACGTCGATGCTGTCGTGCTCCGCAAGCAGCAGCTCGATGACGCTAACGCCAAGGCCACCGAAGTCCACGACGAGACGACCGACGTCCCCGAGCACCGCATCTCGAGCGCCAAACTCAAATACATGCTCAAACTGCTCTCAACCGAGGCCGGGTTCCTCGTCCACGGCGCGGTGCTCCAAGCTATCGACAATATGGACGACGACGAAGCCGACCTCGTGCGCGCCGACGCGATTCTCAAGTCGCTCGGCGTCGAATCGGAGGCCGACATGGAGCGTCTTCTCTCGTATGTTCTTCTTGTCGACTGGTAGCGTCTGGAGTTTGTGCTAGCTTTTTCTTTCACGACGCGCGCGACAATGAGAGTCGCCCGGGTGCCGACGTGGCCAAGCGGCTCGGGCTCAAGATCCACCCGGATGACGTCATCCAGACCATCAAAGTGTTTGTGCAGGTAGCGGCCAATTGCATTGGGCTGTATACGCAATGGAGTTGATGTAGGAGCTCAACGAAGAGAAAAAGGCCCGCGGAAGTCGAGGCGCGCGCCGCCTCAAGGAGAAGATGGAGCAAGAGAAGGCGCAGCTCTCGGGCGCGTCCCCGTCCTTTCGGAAAGACCACAAGCAGTTTTGGAGTCGCGCCCAGCGCGTCCTGCCCGCCCAGTCGCAGCGGTACGAACGTACGCTGTCCAATGGGCTCCAAGTCGATGGTTTGCTAGTGTCTGGACGTCGCTCGAGACGGGCTTGACGTCGTACCTCCACGTACTCAAGCAGCGCAAGGGCCTTATCGACGACGTCTCGACGCTCCAAGCCCAAAACGTCGAGCTCAAGGGGCTTCTCCGTCAGTACCTCGGCGCGGCCGTGAACGAAGAGCTCTTGATTCCACCGACGCAAATGATTCGCGTGCAAGAGCCGTCGCACCAGTAGTGACGAGACGTCGTCCTGCGAGTATATTATGTAGTACAACTATTCGGCGAGCGGGTTGGCGTGGATCGCAATCGAGTCGAGTACAATCTCCTTGAGTGGCCGGGACTTGGCGTCGACCGGCGTCTTCTCCATCGCGTCCAGCACGTCAAAGCCGTCAATGACCCTGCGCCATAATGAGACTCTCCAAGAGGACGCAAACACGTACTTGCCAAAGACCGTGTACACGTTGTTGAGGTGCGGCTGCTTGGCGTACGTGATGAAGAACTGCTGCTTGTTGGTGTTGGGACCGCTGTTGGCCATCGAGACGATCCCGCGCGCATTGTGCTACGCATGTATACGATGCATCAACTAGAGACAGCGGTATGGCGAGCGTACGCGGTTTTGCGGATGGAACTCGTCGTTGAACTTGCCGCCCCAAATGCTCTCGCCGCCCTTGCCCGTGCCTATGGATGATGAGGAGGTGGAGAATGCTACGTGCCGCCAGGGCAGACGTACCGGTGGGATCGCCGCCTTGGATCATAAAGCCCTTCATGTTGCGGTGGAACGTCGTCTTGTCGTACGCGTTGCTGGCGCAGAGCGCAAGAAAGTTCTACGAGCCGTGGGCACGGAAGGCGGGCAGGCGCGCGCGTACCTCGGCCGTCGTTGGCACCGTGTCGCAGAAGACCTCGATCTTGATGTCGCCGAGGCTCGTATGCAGCGTGACCGACTACGTCATGGGATGTGAGCGGCGCCGGTCCAGCATGCATGGGTCGGTCCACCATCGTTCAACGCGCTTGGAAATGCCACGACGTCAAGCAACGTCGTATTATCATTTAAAAGAGGTTTTCGCGATATTGCAAATTCGACTGGGGTTCAAGTGACATCTCAATATCCGATTGTAGAGGGTTTTGGGAAAGTTGAAAGCTCACAGAGCCGAGACGAGCTACCACGCATTAACTTACTCCACCACTCACAGCTTTGTACATGGCCGGCAGCTTTGGCTGCTGCGTCATTGCGTATTGTCTAGCTCATCTAAGCACCGGCTTGATAAATATGCTACGTCGCCTTGCACATGTTGATCTCTGTTGGGAAGCAGCATGGGCATAAGATAGATTCCCGAGGTTGAAGGAGTTGCACGCATACTGCTGTACGTATATACATTCGCACGGCGATAATTTATGATCAAGGGAAAGACCGTACTGGTCGACTTAGACAGTGGCGACCGGGTCAAAGTAGGGCTGGCGCATGCGCTCGAGCGGGATCTTGATCGGCGGCAGGTCGTCCGAGAACGCATGGCGGGACGTCTTTGGCGGGAAGACCGAGTCGGAGAGCGCCATGGCGATGACGTCGGCTTTTGTGAGCGTATCGCGGCCACAGTCGGGCCACACATCGACCGTGATCGACTCGTCCTCGAGGTAGTCGACAAGGACCGCAGGCACAGTGATGAGGCCGAGCTGGACGCCGACCGTGTACCGATGGTGGCCATCCAGAATCGCGCCCGTCTTGCGGTCCACGAGGAGCGGTTCAAGGTACGCGTCCCACTTGACCGTCGCGCGGCGGAGACCATCGACGCGGGCTTCACTCACGATTTGCTCGTGGGGTTTCAGCCACGAGACAAGGACGAGGGCGACCGCAAGTCGCTTTGGGCAGCGCTCGCGCTCCGTATCGAAGCGGTACTTGTAAAAGTACGAGGTCGGATCCGTGATGCGCGACACAAAGAACTCGCGGTACTTGTTGGAGCTGTCCATGACATCTTCGAGCGTCTGCGCCATGCGGCCCTTGATCCGCGAGAAGGACGACGTCGGGTCGTTGGCTCGAATGGCGTCGAACGCATCGCTCTTATTTGGATTCTTCTTGTTGGGGCGCGACACGAGATCGAGCGACGACGAGGCTTGGGCCTCAATTGCTCGGAACCGGTCGCGAAAGACACCGCGGACCACAGTGAGCGCAAGCTGTGTCGCGCCCGAGAGCACTTGGATCGATGCTTTCCGAACAAAATCACGCTTCCGTGTGCGGGGCACGCTTGCAAGGGCGGTTGACGACTCTTCGGGTAGGAGCGCCACCGTCGGGCAGCCAAAGCCGAGGGTCCCTTCGGTGGGGTCGGCGCGGAGCGTTTCTAGCGGGATCGAGATGGGCGGGAGCGAGTCCGTAAATCGGTGGCGACTTGTCTTGGGCGGAAATACGTTGGGCGAGAGCGACATGTCGATGACCTCTTGCTTTGTGAGGGAGCTCCGCCCGCAGCCAGGCCACACGTCGACAGTAATTTGGTCGTCCCCCAAGTAGTCGACGAGCACCACAGGCACTTGCTTCAGCTGGAGCTGGAGGCCGACCGTGTACCGGTGGTGCCCATCGAGGATTGCGCCGGTCTTGACATCGACGAGGAGCGGCTCCGTGTAGGCGTCCCACTTGATTGTGGCCTTCTTCAGGCCATCGACGCGCTCCCAGCTCACGATTTCTTCGTGCGGCTTGAGCCATGAGAGGCACACGAGGACGACAGTTGCTTTCTTGGGCTCCGTCTCGGCGTCCGACCGGTACTTGTAAAAGTACGACGTGGGGTCTGTGAAGCGCGAGACGAAGAAGTCCATGCTGACGTTGATCCCACCCGTGGCGCCTATACGCACGCAACCTTTCGCATCAGTCAACAGCGTGCGGGACGGACAATCGACGTACCGCTGTTGGAGCGTGGCCGGAACGAGGTGTCATCGCGGGTCGTGGACTGCCAGAGGTGCTTGCGGTTCGTCTTGCTGGATGACGGTGCGGTAAGCGCTGTGGTCGAATCGTTCGTCGGCTGGTCGACATCGTCCATGAGATGGTCAAAGATGCTGTGGAGCGCGCTCGTCGTGTAGCCTTGCGCGCTCATGAAGAGACGCATCGAGATCTGCTTGAGGACATCGCGCTTGCGTCGCCGAGGAACCTCAATGAGGTCCGAGCTTGCGTGCTCGTCGTCGGTGTGATCGCGCTTGGCACGCTTCGGGCTTGGCACCTCGGGCGTCTCGGGCTTCTCGCGGTAGGTCAACGTCTTCTCGTAGCCGAGAGCAGGCTCCGTCGCCTCAAGTTCCCTAGGTCCATGGACATGCATGAGGTCGTCGGCTTCCTCGCAGCATGGAGGCTTCCGCGTACATGCTTCGAAGCGGCAGCATCGTCGACGGCGCGTCAAATTGAGGAATGTTGCGACGTACAAGAGGCTCATCATTCTGAATTTAATTGGTGCAATTCAGTGCTGCATACATTCCCCAAGCTTATCCCTTGGAGCGTTACACGTGATTATTATAATACAATGATGCGAATAAAAACACTCGAGATTTTATTGATTTTACGCCCCTTGACAGCACATTCATCATTGGCGGGCCGCTATTTTAAAACACGTGCACTGCGTATTTTAATACAAACATCACCGCGCTATGAAACGCTCCGTCGCGCCGATGCTGATTGGTAACACGTCATTGACAATTTTGGCCAATCAGCGCGGTGCAGATCCGACCAGGAGGCTTCTTTTTTGCAGCATTTCTTGACGTACCTCTGTCTATCGATGTTCTGTTGCAATGCATAAAGCAAATTACTTATTCCAATATCATGTCGATTTAAAAAACCGTTATACATGCATAGAATGCGTGATGCGATTTTGTAATAAAAAGAATAGAAGTGGCGCCAAATTGATGTCCGAGCAGCTTTCGTCGACGGTACAAAATTGTAGCTTTCTCGGGTCCGACAACTCGCACGCGCAAGATGCATTTGTCCGCAAAAGCTCGCACTCATAGAGGGATTCTTTCGGCGGGCCAATATTCGACCCGTCGAAACGCAATATTCCTCCAATTCTCGTAAAATTGTACTAGTACAAGTCTTTTGCGCCAATAATCCCCGCATCGAAGCGGTTTGGTGTTGCTCTGTCCGTCATACCCGACAAGCGTTATAACTGATTCTAGCTTAAGTCATTGGCATGCTTCAGTACGTATCTTTACACTGTGACACATACCACCTCGCTCACTCGCTCCAATGTTCTTGCTCAATGCGATCCTTGCACCAGCATTGCTGTGCGCGAGGTACCAGTACAGGTATGATCCTTGTCCGTTTTGACCCTTCCGCTCCCACTTCTTCTTTTGTTCTCCAGATGAACTTCTGCGGTTACTGATCAGAGCAGTCAGAACCATGACGTGGCGCGTCAGCTGCCGTCTCCTCGATCGGACGTATTGTGCAGGGTCAGAACAGGGTAGCCCAAGCCACCAAGTGGTATCCGCGACTATATAAATGGGAGCACTTAGTATCTTTGAGATGGCATTGTACACCGTGCAAGTGTTGGACAATTGTTCGATTCCTGGTAGCGAATCGATTTAAGCTTCGAAAATCCCGGCCTATGTACGACAAAGCAAAGCAGGATTTCCTCACAGCCTTGCGCACGATGGCGGTCGATGCGAAGAAGCTCGTGGTGCCCCTTGCGTGCCTCATCCTCTCGCGTTGCGTCGACCGCGTCCTCGACACGTACCTTGAGTACCGACTGGCAACCTACTTTATGGCGAGTGTAGGCGCATCACGTACGCCTACGGGCCGTTTCTATGGTACTTTTCCAATATAATCCTCCCGATCGCCTTCATGGTCACGTCGTGGCCCGTCGTGTGGTAAGGTCACGCCGAACTTGACGTTCGAGCGCTCAATGCGAAGCGTTGGTAGGTACAAGATGTGGTTTACGGACGAAATCACACCCGAGATGCACAAGTTTCCGCACTACAAGTACGCGCTCATGGGCTTTTTTGACACGGCGTACAACCTCCTCGCTGCGTTCCCGACGCCGCACATTGGGTATTCCACAAACTGGATTCGTTCGACTGAATCTAGATCTGAATATGGATTTGGTTGTAGTGGCAATTTTGCCAACGTGCTCGACCAGCTCAACTTGCCGTTCAACATGGTGCTCTCGGCGATCTTCCTCAACACCAAGTACAAGCGCTGCCACATTCTTGGCGCGATCCTCGTACTCTACGGCGGCTTTGTCAACATGATTCCTCTCTTCACGGGCGGCAAGACGCTCAACATGCCGGACCCCAGCGCCTTTTGGATCCTTCTCTACATCTCGGCGCTACTTCCGGCGGCAGCCTCCAACGGTATCTGACTAATTTGCTGGCCTCGTTTCTGATGGGGTACACGGACAGTCTACAAGGAAATTGGCTTGAAGGACGTGGATCTGGATATCTGGTACGCCAACGCGTGGATCAGCTTTTACCAGATTCTCTTTGGTATTCTCACCATTTGGACGATTCGGGTACGTTCTCGCCAACAACATTGGCATTGATAAATCATGATTTATGAACAGGTCCCAGCGCTATGCGACCCGCCAGTGCCGTGGTCGGAGTTTGTGCCGTACGTTGGAAAGGCCCACGATTGCTTTCTCGGGCGACCTGTCGAGCTGAACGGCGAGCATCTTCCGTGCGACGAAGGTGTCTTTACTACGTTTCTCTGGTTCATCCTCTTCAACATGACGTACAACCAGGTACTCTGCACCATGCCATCTCTCGTCCTAACAGCTCTTATTTGGACGTAGCTGATGTTGTACATCTTCAAGGAAGGCAGCAGCGTCCTCTTTGTGGTCTCGTCGGCCATTTGCCTCCCTTTGACAGACGTTCTGTACATGATTCCGTTCATCACGGGCGCGGACGCGTCGCAAACGTTTACGATCTACGACGGGTTTGCGCTCTTTGTTCTTGTGGTACGACCATCAGATCTGATTTGAGTCGAGATCTAGAGCTTGTTTATTCTAGATTGGCCTTTTAGTCTACCACTCGGAGAAGGAGAAGCGCGTGAGCGAAGGTGGAAGCCGGTCCATCGACAAGTCGCCCATGTTCACGTCGCCAACGCTCCAGCGCACGCACCTCATGCGGTCGCAGCGCGGCCGCGTCGTATATCGGCAGAGCCCTCTGTTTCCAGGCAAGAGCCCGCTCTTGCGTCGGTCCAACTCGCCAGCTCGCCCGACGTACGGCACACCCGACCGGTCGCGTCCGTTGCGTACGCCCGAGACACCGAAAAAGAAGAAACAAAAGAAGAAGGCGGCCGAGGCCATGGTGTAGACCAGGAACGCCTAGATTGAAGCGCGTCGAACGGCTGGGGCGTTGACGTGATCTGTAAACGGGATGAGAAACCACGCAAGTCAACAAAGTAACATGAAGTATGCGAATGGTGTTTTGTGCATTTTGTGTAAACGAACGATGAGGCCAGATGTAGGTCATCGTGCACCTGGATCGTCGAAAACAACGTCTTCGACAACCATAAGTTCTTAGGTTCTGTGGTACTATAGCAGGTTGGTAGTGACGCGTTGTGTACAGCAGAGACATCTTGCTATCTGGCTCGGGCAGGATGTCGAGGCGCCGCCACCAAGCATTGACGAATCTATCTCCGAGGCAAAACGTTGATCAACCCAAGCGAGAGCAAAAAACAAGCGCTCGATTGATATCTTGATAATTCGACATACAGGCAAAACTATCCAAGCTCGACACGTTTCCAGCTTGAAACTCTCGATTACTACTGCTTTCGCTTAGAGATGCCGTTAAACGACCTTGTCCGTCGCAGTGCTGCCATACGAGACCATGTTGCGCAACGACATGAGCGGGCGGGAGGGCGAGTTGCGCTGGCGAAACGTCGCGGGGCTCTGGTGGTACATGACGCGTCCTGGTCTCCGACATTAGACCGTATTTGCTGACAAATTCAAAGAAATACCTCGCTTGGCCCGCATCATTTGCGTCTTCTGAAAGCTTGGCGACGCAAACATGGGCGACTTTTCGACCGACTTGGTACCGGACGCATCCAAACGCTGCTCCTTCTCGGAATGGTACACGAGAATCCCAATCTATCCATATACATTGGATACATCCAAACCACATAGCCAGGATACATACCACGAGCACAAAGAGAGCAAACGCATCGTAGAGCGTAAACGTCTGGGACGCATGCGCCCCCGCGAGGAACGGGAGCATGTACAACATGTCTGTCAACGGCAGGCAAATCGCCGACGAGACCACAAAGAGAACGCTGCTGCCTTCCTTGAAGACAAACAGCATCAACTAATCAAAGGTCCTCAACGCAATTCCTCTCGACAGCACCAAGACAATACTACGTACTTGGTTGTACACGAGGTTGAAGGCGAGGTAGAGGAGGAAGAGGAGAAAGACACTGTTGTGATCGCACGGCACGACGTCACCGTGGAGCGTGACGTTGCGACCGAGGAAGCAGTCGTTGGCGGCCGCAATGTAGCCTGGAAACGCTGTCCATGCAATCGGCGGATCGCAAAACACTGGAATCTAGCAAAATATCAACGAAATGATAAAAAAAAGCTTCAAAAACAGTAAAAAACGCGTACGCGGATCGTCCAGATCGTCAGAAGACCCCAGCCCACTTGGTACGTGCTGATCCACGCGTTCGTGTACCAAATATCCAAATCGACGTCCTTCAAGCCAATCTCCTTGTAGACTATCCAGCGATATCGTTTTGGATACATTTTGACAGTGGTGGGTACCGTTCGAGAGCGCCGAGGGCACCATCGCGAACACATACATGCTGATCCAGCCGACGCTCGGGTCCGGCGAGTTGGCCGGGCGCTCGCCGTGCAGGATTGGGATCATTGCGACCAGACCGCCGTAGACGACGAGGATCGCGCCAAGCACGTGGATGCGCCGGTACTTGGTTTTGAGAAAGAGATACGACATGATCATGTTGAACGGCAGGTTCACTTGCCCGAGCACATTGGCGAGGTTGCCGCTAAGGCCAGTCATCAATACACCGCAAACGATATGTCCATGAAGGTTCACCCAATGTGCGGCGTCGGGAAGGCCGCCAAGAAACCACAAACCATGTCGAGGAGCGCCATGTAGGCGAAGCGCGACGTCGGAAACGCCTTCATCTGGGGCGTCACGTCCTCTACGCAACATGCAATGACGCAACAAAAACAGATCGTATGCCTACTCGTAAACCAGAGCTTGTACCACACGATGGGCCAGCACGTCAAGGCAAAGGCGAGCGGGCAAATAATGTTGGAAAAATACCACAAAAATGGCCCAAACTCAAACGTAATGCGCCTACGCGGTGCGTCGATCGACCAGCTCGGTCATACGAACGTACGTGTAGACGACGCGGTCGACGCAGCGCGCGACGATGAGGACGACGAGCGCGAGTGCGAGCTTCGAGTCTCCGAATCCGTGCATGCCAATCAAAAGGTGTGCTTGGATCGCAAGATGCGGCTGTCCGGATACATCGCCCATGAGACAGACGTATTTTTAATGTGCCTTTTATGGCCAATTCACTTGGTTTTGTAGGCGACCACGCATAGTGTTTGATGCAAACGGTAACCGGACATGGAGCGCCACAACTTCAACCCGACAAGCAAAGATCTCCATGGCTACATGAAAGCGTCGACGAGCGCTGGCTCAGACTACGTAGTCCCCTCGAGAATCTATAGCTTTGAGCTCCTTGGTAGTCATATTTAACGTAAAGAGGACGGGCAAACTGACTGCGAAAATAAAATGGGATCAAATACAGACCTAAGATCCTGAACAAAAGCTACCTGTTGTTCAGAAGTAGCATGCCTGGGATGGTGGCCACCAAGTCCTGGCTAAATACAGTGGGGGATGCGCGGGGGACTCTATCGAGCTCCTTCCTAGGTAACTGGATGTTATCGTTGTCAACTCGTTCTCGCCGCCCAACACGGGGTAGCCAGCGACGCTTGTTGCGTCTGTGTTGAGCTCCAAACTCGCTCGATGACAATATGTTATTTCGAGTGAGTTTGGGCTCAACACGTCGTGCGAACGTGGGATGCAGCCTCCGAATCTACTATCCGGAGGAACACTTTTCGTCGTGGGTTTGTGTCCCATAAACGAAGCGAACGCGAGTGTACGGTTGGTTGCCGGCTTTATCCATACCAAACGACATGGGGACGGACGCGCTAGTATGGAGCAAATGCGAAGAAGGTATCATTTTTCAATTGGCGTTCTTATGGTATCGGTGTACTACATTCAAGGCTTCCTCGCGCTCGCAGCGGTTGCCTTTGCTGCTCAAGAAGCGCCCGCGGACGCAATGACGTTTGGCCGACTTGTCGACTGCGATGACAACAATGGTGGCGGTCGCTGGA